GTGCCCTATTCCTTTTATAGTGTGTTTGCTGCATTTCTGTGCATTGCACCGTGCGACGCCGCTTTTATCGTGGCAGCGGTAAATGTGGCGTCGCATGGCGCAAAGCCGTATACGAGCTTTTTACCGTTGCTGTTGCAGTCACAAGCTTGGCAGCAATCTTGCAAGTATTCCGTTTTTTTGTGGGGCGTGTGCGCTACAGAAGGCGCGCACCCAACAATCACTGCAACGCGACTTCTATTTTTGGATTTATGAGAAATGGGAATGCGGAATGGAAATGAAAGTCCGTTTCATAGGGAAGCCAACCCTGAACTTGTTAGGCGTACCCCGTCTCAGTGAGTTTCCGTTTGCGCCGCGCCGGAGTGCCTTCCACATGGCCCAGCAAATGCACCTCTAGACATGAGCGTGGAACGGTGGAGCACTCTGCAGTTTTGATCATGGTTTCGTAAACGTAGCTGACAGGTACAAAACATACAATACATTGGTGTGGGGCTTTTCTTTCGGAGCTATGGACAGCAGGGGCGAAGTGATCACGAACACGACCTTCCTATAGTTTCGGACAGTGCTGCACGGAAAAAACAACGGAATACATGGTGAAGGAGTTCAGATGGCAAACAAATGCCACTAGGTTTCAACCATTTCATGAAGTCACCTTGAAACCCTATATTTGCATTGAAATGCCTCCAGTTTAATTGGTTCGCGTCAAGTCAGAGAGGCCGTTGACGGATCTGTAGTTTGATTTGTGTCCAAATTTCATGCAATTTCATGCACGGCAGTGGTCTAACGCAGCAACGAAATAGGCCTCTGCGAACGCCAAACAGACGGTGGGCTTCCAAACTACGCGCTGAACAACGCAGTTAAGACCTGCAACCCCAGCACCGAAATACCTGGTGCGCATTTCTACGATACGCGAGTGTTTTGTTCTGTGCCAGAAAGGAGAAGGTGATTCCTACTCGTACCGCTGGGTTTTCCCCGGTGCTCTGCCGGTTGCAGGGTCGATGTAATGCACAGGCACTACAATGGATATCTTGCGTGGCCTCTAGAGGCCTAGTATCATGAAATGAATAAATACTATAGGATATTTCAGGGATAAGGACACTCTTAGATAGAAAAAAAGCATAAGAGTGCTCTCCAGCTGACACCACCTTGGGGCTGGGGGTGAGGCTGATGCTGTGATTCTGGCACTGACCCTCAACGACGGTCGATACTATTGTTGTTGTTTTTTCTTCCTCAACAATAATAATAACTCGAGTGTGCTTTGGTTGTTTATTGTGTTTAATAGTGGTTTTAGCGAGAATCATAGATTTTGGTAGCTAGTTGCAGACGTGAACCAACTCAGAATAGCTTCGTGATCATACGTCGTAACAGTTTAGGCCAGCTGTTCACTACAGTCGATGCCATGCCACTCACAAAAGAAGGCCTGGCAGCTGTGGCCGCAAGTTGTAGCCACCATTAGACACTCACCTTTTCTGCTTACCAAGCCTCATTCAATTTTTGCATACGTTATTTCCCTTTTTTTCTATTTCCTAAGGCAGTTCGCTGGCGTCAATGCAGTGCCTGACCCTGCAACAGGCAGTCTACCCTGGATTTTGGGTAGCATCTACGCAGTTGTTGCACGAAAGTATTCCTACCTTATTTTTCCCCACTAATTGATCTCAACACAGATTTACTCAAACTTCACCGTCGTCCTGCCAACCGGAACCATCTCCCGGTCCTCTGTGTTGCTTTAAGCTGCCGCTCTGCGCTGTTTCATTGAAGTTTTACATAGCGGTCCGCTTGAAGGCAACTATACTCTTTGGGTCCGTCAATTCAGTTTCCATAATGGGAAATATGAGGCGCATTGCAGGCGACTTGTCGCCAAAAGCTTCGGACCCGCTTGAGGTCGCAGGGGAAGGAACAGATCCCGCCCCAGATAACGCAGACAACAGTGGCATCGCTGCCACAGCGGGTGGAGCTTCTCCTTCCTGGAGGTACCGCGGGAAAAGGGCTCGAGCGACTACGGCTGCAATTGCTGCTGTTGCAGTGATAGTGGTGTGTGGGGTTCGTTACATCATGTCCGGAAGGTCTCCATCATACGTGAAGGCGTCACAGCTGGGACTTGTCGATGCGTCACAGCCGTCAGTGGGCGACGTGTCAGAGCCGTCACTGGACGACGTGTCAGAGCCGTCACTGGATGATGCGTCACAACTACCGCTGGACGATGCGAGCATGCAGAAGTACATGAACGACTTCAATGAAGCAGCAGAGGAGATGGAAAAGGCTTTCCCCAAAAAATCGAGCGTGCGTAAAGCTTTTCAACTAAACTTCACACCGTCGCTGGAGGATGGTGAAAATCTCTTGAAAAACCCTCTGGCGATCATCAAAGACCACGTTGCCAAGATGCGAGAATGCAAAGTTCCATCTGCTTCTTCTCCGCAGGCGCGGCGGGACTTCGCCCAACACTTGCAGCTACTACGCAGCATTTGTCGGGCAACCACGCTTCGCGTCAACGAATTAACCTCGTTCTCCGTTGAGAACAAGCAATTTCGCGTAGCCCTGCCTTTTTTTCGAGACGGCGAACCGTCTAGTCACCATGCGCACAAAGACCTTGCAGAATGGGGAGGAATGGGTTGGGATGCAGCTCACTTCTTGAGGAGTTGGGGGCTGTCTGCTGGTTATAGCGATCGACAGGTGCCAGGAGCCTTCGCTTTCATGCTAAGATGGTTGTTGGAAATTGAGAAGAGATATAACGACGCCAACTTGAACGCCCGATATTATTTCATGGAATTTCTTCAACCATTTGAAGGAGACGGCACTTTAAACCCCGCTCATGCTCCTGCCGAACACAAGATTCCATACACTGGAAAGCCATTTCGAACATCAGCTCTTGCAGACGCAGCTGCGCATGTATTCCGCGAATCCGATGCCACTACGAATTACGCATTCGTACGAAAGCTGAATCGAATTGCAGATAATTGGTCGAACGAAGGAGTGGCGGCAGCTGTGAAGCAGCAAGAGAAGGAAAATGTGGACAATGCCCAAGAGAGGCTGGAGACTAAGAGGGAGCTTATGCGACGGCTGCTAAGCGAAGGAATCCCAGAGGATGACCTGGTGATAATTGCATTGTTCCTTTTATAGTATATGAACTGATTTTATTGTGCGTTGTGCCAGGTGACACTACTTTTAGTGCAGCAGGGGTCCGCATGCGTGTTGTCCGGCCTCCTTACAGTTGCTGCTGTAGCTAGAAAGTTAAACGCAGTTTTGTATTTAACCCGTTTTTTTGTGGGATCTCCGCCTAGAAGGAAGGGTGCACCCACCTATCAGTGAGGCAAGACTTTGTTTTGGCCTCATGACACATTAGATTGCAGACCGGGAATAAAACGCTGTTCTCGAGGAAAGCGAACCCACTGCTGTTTCTGCATATCCCTCGTCAGCGATAATTTGTTTTTGCTGCGCCGGGCTGTACTATGGATGATCCAGTGAATCCAGGTGCAGGAATAACGGCGTAGAACGCTGGATTACTGCGCAAATTGTATTTGGAAACTAAATGTACAGAGATCTTATTCAATGCAGAGACATCCGTGGGTGCTAGAGTTTGCTGTTGGTGCTAGAAAGTCAAGGCGGATAACAGTCAGGAGCTTCAGATATGTTAGGCCAATGCTGCAGAAAAAACATACTACACCAACTGGTGGATGTAACATGAGTTAGCGCAGAGTTAGCTCAGGAGCCTATCGACAGCTTTGGCATGCTGCGCGTAAGCG